TACAGACGCCACCAACACTGCAGTCACAGGAAAACAAAGCTTAGAAATTCATGACAATGAAATTGCCGTTAAAGAAAAATATTTATCAGACCGACAGGAATATGAGCTGCCAAAGCCTGATTTCACAGCTTATGTGGAAGAGGTTGCAAGAGAGCCCAGTGTAAGACTGCATGGTGAGAGCACTGAGACACTTCAAGAAGTGCTTTTAGTTAGTCATAGCGTTCACTGGCATACCACAGTCCAAGGTGTTGAACATGTGGATAGCCTCAATACGGCCACTTTACTCAGAGATGATCCAGGTGTTAGCATAAAGTCCCAGCCAAGGAAAACCCACACAGAGCAAATGGACTCTGATTTCTTGCCAACACAACCTCTTGGAACATGGACTTCCACTCTCAACATGACACAGCACATCACATCTGAGTCAGCTGACTCTGACTCCTCCAGTCCTGGGCTAACCCAGTCCAGGCCGTGGGACCTACGGCATAGAGTTGCCCGTTTGAGCGGGTTGCAGCCACCTGATCCTGATGCTCAGGAGGATACAGGAAGTGGCAGTTCCAGTCTTCCCACTGCCACTTTGAAAATGGGACACACAAAGAGCCAAAAGGGTGTTAACCAAGGGAGCAGCTGTGTGCCGCAGGTAACCCAGCCTGTCAAACACATTCACACCATGTAACCCAGTCTGAACATGTCTTAGGAGAAGGCTTTGTGGGAAACCCCCTTCAGTGCTTGAGTGATTTCAGTCATTTCAATGATGACATTAATGTGTGACGCACATTTCACTACAAGGGCTCCTGCACTTGCCCTTACCCAGAAACTTGATTATTGCTGCATCCGATATCGTACACTTACTAAATAGCATGGCAAAATACTGCACAAAATATATTAGTGTGTCCGAAACCACAGCGCACACGGGTTAAGTCCGCAAAAAGTTCCTGGATGGCGCACACTATCTGGACACTAATCGATCCCATAATTCTAGACTTGACTTGTGAGGAAATCAGGAGTTTGCTTAAGAAAATGGCGGCGAAGGTAGTGGTGTTTTCTAGTGTGAGTATAATTCATATTCAAACTCACATCATTATTAAAAAATGTGCTAAATGCATTATGCTATTTTTTCTGTTATAGGTTTCTAAAAAGCAGCTGTCCTAGGAAGATAACATTACAGCTTAGCACATAGTTCTAACTCATAAAAACATAACCATTGATATGCAAGACATCCATCATTAACCCTCTGGAGTCTAGGGGCAGGGAACACACTTTCACTGACTGGGGCATGGTCACACATTTCATTCAATATCATAAACTTAATTCATGGCAAATTAATTATTTCTTATATATTTGTTTTGGCATAAAACTCATCTTAATCTTAGTGTACTTAGTAAATATGACAGATTTATGTTAAGTTTGTAATTTGACATGAAAGTATAGACATTGCAAAATGCAGTTTGGAACACTTGCAGAAACATTATACTGTAAGTACATTAAGCAATGGTGGAAGTTTGTTTTTATCCCAGATATCTGATCTGGTACATGAAGATGACTAAATGGTGTAGTTGCAACATTCATTTGGATAAATAAATAAGAAAAACCGAACTCATGTCACTATTTCTGGCTCCTTTCATTGAAAATGTAGCAACTTTCATGTGTATGAATGAGCCATTGACACTTGGCCACATCCCTACCCCCTTTTATGGCGCTGATGGGGATGTTTCTGGATCGCGTTTCACCATTGCGCTGTTCCTCAAATTACCATACAAATACGATTTGAATACGCACTAATGCGGCTATTTAGAATGTGAATAGCGATCTTCGAGTGACACCGTGACAGCGGTACTACATGCCCCCAATGCAGGTAAAACAAAGTAAGGTGACATGGTTTACTTTTTTGCCTATTTAACCTAATTTTAAAAACTTTAATTCTTCCGACAATGGATGTTTTCATAAGAAGACAGATTACGGATTTAGCGTTTTTTCCATGTTTCTATAATAAGATTTCAGCAAGTTATGAACTGAAATACACGAGAAAGATACTCAGCATCGCCGACGATGCCGTCCACTCCAGAGGGTTAAAGGTCAAAGTCCAGCTGTATAACATGAGATAGTGTGTCCAGAAAAATATAAAACGTTCGTATTCGCACACTGAGGAATTGTATTTAATGATCGCTGATGTAGTACATACCGTTTCCTCATTTAAGTATATAGTGCATAGTGTGTGGTTTCGGATGCAGCCCATGAGGCGTTTCCCTGAGGATCCTTGCCGCTGTCATGGCGACGCGGCCTAAGGGGCTCCCACAGAGCCTCATGGAGTACGCTGCCTCGACTTTGCCGCTGTCATGGCGACGCGGCCTAAGGGGCTCCCACAGAGCCTCATGGAGTACGCTGCCTCGACTTTGCCGCTGTCATGGCGACGCGGCCTAAGGGGCTCCCACAGAGCCTCATGGAGTACGCTGCCTCGACTTTGCCGCTGTCATGGCGACGCGGCCTAAGGGGCTCCCACAGAGCCTCATGGAGTACGCTGCCTCGACTTTGCCGCTGTCATGGCGACGCGGCCTAAGGGGCTCCCACAGAGCCTCATGGAGTACGCTGCCTCGACTTTGCCGCTGTCTTGGCAACGCAGCCTAAGGGGCTCTGACAGAGCCTCATGGAGTACGCTGCCTCGACTTGTCTCAGCTTCATAGGTCACTTCCTGCAGCGTGAAAATACAGAAGCATAGGTTATGCGTTGGCTTGTAGCTACAAGGAAGGTTCGTGCGAGGCTGAAATAGGGTTGCTTAGCTGGAAAGTTTGGTTTCCTCACAACGATTTTTTAAGGCTACATAAAATGAAGATGGGGTAAAGACGAGGACTTTTTTTAAAAAAAGGCTGTTCTGTATGAAATTTTGCCTAACCAGTAAGATGTGGCCTATGTACACTATATGAACAAAAGTATTTGGACACCTGCCCATTGCACCTACAGGAACTTTTATGACGTCCCATTCTAAATCCGTTGGCTTCAATATGGAAAAACTTAGATGTGGCATTCATATAAGACATTTCAAGATTTTGGACAGTTCTATGCTTCCAACTTTGTGGGAACAGTTGGGGAAGGCCCTTTTCCATTCCTGCAGGACTGTGCCCCAGTGCAGAAAGCAAGGTCCATAAAGACAGTGAGTTTGGTGTAGAAGATCTTGACTGGCCCGCATAGAGCCCTGGCCTCAACTCCATCAAACATTTGGGATGAACTAGAATGGAGATTTCAAGCCAGATCTTCACATCCTTGTGCCTGACCTCACAAATGCTATTTTGGATGATGGGGCAAAAATTGCCACAGACACACTCCAGCATCTTATGTAAAAGTCTTCCCAGAAGGGGTGGCAGCTGTTATAGCTGCAGAGGGGGGACCAGCTCTGCATTGATGCCTATGGATTTAGAATTGGGTGTCATAGAAGTTCTTGTAGGTATAATGGCCAAGTGTTCCAGTACTTTTGTCTATATAGCGTATATCACATACGGACCTTGTACAAGTATGACCAGTATGGGGCTGACTTACATATGACATTGACAGCGTTTGGCCAGTATGGCCAGTATGGTGCTGTCTGTGTGTAGCCATTATAAACCAATAAGTGTGATTAGAATCACCTCAGTGTTCTGAAGCCCTGATCCCTGCATTCCATTACAGTGTAACTCTCACTGCCTCATCCAGCGGGTGAATGTTTGAAATCCTGTAACCGCAGCCGTACACGAGCACCGTAAATATCGAAAGTTATTTTAAACAGTGGAGTCTGCAGGGGGGGCAGATTTTGATTTCATGTGACTTCTGTGGTTTTTCTCCTTTGTCACTTTGCATTCAGCATGCACAGGTAGGCAGGAGTGCATGACAGTGCAGATTACATCTAACTGCTTCAGTAGCTTCTGCAGATTAATGGCTTAGAATGCCACTTGTCTCTTTTCACTCTTATTTTCTTGGGTAAAAACCACAGATGGAACAAGGTCCCCTGCTGAGTCATGGTGACGTCAGTCGTTTGCCTGCAGCATGGTAGCAGGTTGAACCTGCATAATGAAGGCTGGTTAGATTCCCTGACCTACTACCTTCCATTTGAGGTTTAACCACACGTTTCTGCACCCTAGTTCTCTCTTCATGGTGTTCAGATGATTTGTACTCCCTGTATTATGGTCTGCATGCATTGTGCACATGATCAAATATTTTTCTGTACCCCTATGAAGGTCATATTCTCTTGAAATGTAACCATAATATGAAAGTTAATGGCAGAAACTCACTAGGAAGTGCTGCGTACAGGAACCGTTTTGTTAGTGGTGAAGGTTCTTGTTCCTTCTCAGCTTAGCCGATGACTACATGTTGAATAGTTTAACCAACAATGAGAAGGATAAGGGCGACCACAATGCTCAGGAAAGGTTCTGCCCCGGGGACATAGAACCAGGGCTGGATCATAGAGGAAATGTCTTTGAAGGAAATTTGGGCTTTCAGGTGGCAGAATCAATGATCCAAGGAAAAACTGCATAATACGATTTAATTTAAATGATGTTAGAAAATGTCTACCTGTGTTGATCGTATTTTTAGATTCTTTTGGTACTAACAAATGGCAGTGAAGAGGGCTATATAGTGCATTAAGGATCTCGTGTGTAAGGATTTTTTCCCCCTCTCACAGTACAGTAGCAGTGTAGACTGTCCTGCCTGTACTGAAGGAGTGTGACTGTCCCTCCTATGTACCTGTCATTAGAATTGCACTGACTCTTCTTTGGAATAGATTGCTAGTCCTTAGCTCATTGGTGAGACGGGCAGTACACATGCTGGGAGCATGACGGCTGTCAGTATGACTCACACTTTGGTTTTGGCTCCTGCTGCACCACCCTTAAACCGGTTTAAGGCGGAGAGACACACCCCCATTATAGGCCCCGCCTACTGAATTCTATCCTAACTCCTGAAGAGCTGCACGCCACAACTCATGTGGGGCTGCTAGATGTTGCAGGCGAATGAGAGTGCTTCTGTTTCCTGGGCAGCAATGGGAGCGACGTGGGGGTGACCTGGTAACAGGGCCGGCAGAGGCGGAGTCGGGGTCGGGGGCGGAGTCAGCCAGTCAGCCCACCATGACGGAGCTGCTGATGGACTGTTTGCAGCTTGAGAGTCAGGAACCCAGCAGCAGCATCAGAAGGGTGAGAAAATTCATCCTGGACCATCTCCGCTGGAGACTCTGAACCTGTTGTCTTTCCAGTCTTCAATTTGAAAAATACATTTCATTGCATATTATTCATACAGCTTATAGTAGTGGACGCTGGCTGGTCATTATGTAATTTTTCCTAAAAATGTTTTTTCAGGGACAAGAGTGTTAAAAATCAGTAACTAGATAATTCAATTCTCTTTTGATATGATGAGATGGTGGGGAAATAGGAAGTGACACTGGAAATAGGTGTAAGCCAGTGGAATTTCCAGTGCACATGGGACACATGGCACATATGGGACAGTCCTCACATATGTCCATGGGTTAGTGAAGCACATGTGACTTCTGCTCCTGAAAGATGTGACGAGCTGTGTTGAATTGCAGAGAAGCCCGCTGTGGAACGCTATGGTCATAGATACGTCACCCGGGAACCAGGAGAACCACCTGAACCTGAGCCGTGTGGCATTCAGGATACTGTGCTGTCAGAACCAGCCTGTCCATATCAGCACTGCAGCTATGGTCCAACAAGTGGATGAGGCTAAGGTAGGAGAGCGCCCCCTAGAGTAATGTTTCTCAACCCGGTCCACGGGACCTCCAGACAGTCCACACTGTTGCTCCCTCCGTGCTCCTACACACCTTAACCTAGACTGAGGGACACAGAATACTTGGCACAGGTGTGTTGGGGGCTGGGAGGGAATAAAATGCAGGAATCTCTATCCTGTAAAAGCCCATACGTTGCACTGTGTTTTTGGCAGGTATAAATATTGCATAACTACTTGTTTATAACTTTCTTTGTTCCCTCATTCTAAGTGTTTTTTAACGATATACTGGTATTTTGCCAGAAGTGTTTTGCATTTGGCTGCAGGCCCAGCCGGGTGAGTCTTTGGGTTGTGTTGCAGGCCTGTCGGCAGTGGGTGCTGGAGAAGCTTGACGCTCTGCCTAGTGCAGGCGTCGCCCTCGAGACGGTGCGTCCGACAGAAGGGCAGTGGAAAGCCGTCCTGCAGGATGCCAGTGCTGCTGTGCAGATGAAGGAGGCCCAGATGCAGCTTGTCAGCCAATATGAACAGAAGAGTCAGACTGCTGAAGCAGCACTGGCCAAGCTGAAGGTGGATCTGAGGGCCGCGTGCAGGTGAGTCCACTGCAGTGTAACCCATCAACAGTATTGATGGATGGATGGATATGTTTATTGATTAGATGTATGTACTTTATCAATCCCAAGGGGAAATTGTTTGTATACAACAACAAAAAACACTAAGTGCAGACAAAGCGTGAAGAAAATGCATGCAGGGCAACAAGGCGGTAAAAATTAATAGATAAATATGAGGGGTATGTTATGTACCAAAATTACCCTTTTTGAGAAGAATTTTAAAACCCTTTCTATTATTTTCTCTGTCCTTTTTCTGGATTTTATTTTGCTTATATACTGTATTGCTCTGTATTTTTCCCATTTAATATTCTTCTGTTTCTCTGGGAATAGTGACACTATGGAAAGCATGACACTCCAGGAGGAACGGCTACGAGGCTTTCTGCAGAACCTGGAGCAGGAGAGCACCACGATGGGAGCCGTGCTGCAGGTGTTTTCTGAGGTGTCACCCGTCCTGGATGAGGTGGAACGGACAGGGACCCTCATTCGGCTGGAGGACCTGCAGGGACATTGGTGGACACTTCAGAGGGTAGCTGAGAGGGCCTTGTACCATGCCACAGCCTGTGTCCAGGAGTCTGCCAATCTGCTCCAGGAAGCTCAGGACCTTCGCAAGCAGCTGAAAGCTCTGCAAGCATCTGAGCTCTTTCAGTCTCAGAGTGGAAGCTGTGCTTCAGTACAACTAGTGATATTTGGTGCCACTTTAGCAGCCATTGACTATCAGTATGACAACCTGAATCAGCTCTTTGAGGCTCTTAACCAGAATTTAGCTGGAGAGACGGAGAGGAAGGATATTAGACTAGCCCTCCAGAGCTTGAAGGAGGAACTGGATCTTGTTAAAACACAAATGCCAGAGATATCCATCAGTGTTATTCCTGATGCTTTAAGTAAGATTATGAAGGTGATGCAGGACCACCTCACATGGGCAAAGCAAATGGAGATCAAAATCACAGAGAAAAAGAGGAAGTTGGATCTTTTCCCAGAGAAAGTTCACTGCCACATTTTTGAGCTAAAGAAGCTAAAGTGTGAGATCCAAAGTAAACAAATCCAGCTAGAATCTCTGCTGGAAGAAGTGAAGGAACTGACGCCCGTCCTGGATAAGACGGAACTTCCCCCATTGCTTTCCTTAGCGGACACCTTAAAAGACTTGACGAAGTCAGCAGTGGATAATTCAGGTCGAGCTTTACTGGACGTAAAGCTGAGTTTGCAGATGAAAGAGAAGTTATTTGAGCAAATTGCTAATGTAGATGCCTGGGTTGCAAAGCATGTAGAAAAGGAAATGACCAGTTGGGGCAGCCAACCAGACAGCGAACCTGGCATTGCCAGTAGACTCCGGCATCGAATGGCAGAACTGAAAGAGGCAGAGAAACATTCAGCCGTCATCATGACTCTGCTAAATAAGGCTGGAGAAATGGCACCACAGCTCAGCCTTGCTGATAGGTGCAAGTTACACAACCTACTCATAGACCTCCAAGGTGCCATTCATGGAATCATCACCTCGGAGAGGAAAGGCTGTCGGGAGCTGGAAGAGCTGCGCCAAGCAAGGGTTTCCTCACTGGAGACATTGGCATCCATTGAGGCAGGACTAAGACAGATAGACTTAGACCTAACTAAGCACAAATTTCCTGTAACTAAAGATTCTCTCACTATTTTGGAGCATTACAGATACTTACTGCTAAAGCACAGATGGCAAGTGGACCGGCTGCATCACTTCAAGGGGGATAAGAGGAGGGAGCTGCAGCGTGTGATGGTGGATTTACAGAAGAAAATGAACAGTCTTGGTCTTCAGGCTGAGGCACACGGCAAGTATTTGAGCTCCAAGAAACAGATGGAAGACTGGAAGCAGAACCTGGAGAAACAGGCACTGCAACTGAAGGATGAAAAAATCAACAAGGTGGAAAGGTTTAGAAGCTGCCACATTCTCTCAGTGCAATTTCCCCTGACTAAGAACATCTGTCAGGAGGTGACTCATCAACTGAACAACATCTCTCAAGACCTGTACCCATCCCAGCTGAACTCAGAGAGGCAGAAGATCCGGCACGCAGTGCAGGGTCTGGACTCATGGGAAATGACCATCCACAATGACTTGAAGATTCTGGAGAGTGCCCTGCTTGAAGGAAAATGTTATTTTGCTGAGCTCCATGCCATGTTGGACTTTCTCAGAGGTACCCAACACAAGCTAGATCATGCCTTGCCAGTGAGCCCAGATGAGCAAGCTATTGACAGGGAGCTTCTGTGGTGTTTGAGCATTGAGAAGAGGGCAGAGTCTGGAAGGCGAGTACTGCAGACTCTGAAATACAGAATAGGAACCAGGCAGAAGGAGCTGGAGAGCAAGCATAGCGAGCTGACAGACTTAATCGAGAAGGTCCTGAAAGAATCTCAGTTGCGCACAGTAAGTGACGTTTTGTGCCTCCAAACACAGCCATCTATTGTGTGGTGGATTGTCTTAATGGTTATACCCTGAAACGCATAGATGGCTAAGATATGTATTCCTTGCTTAGGGGAGCCTATGCCAGGCGAAGGAGGCCTTGAGGGGTTACTGTGCAGCCGTGCGTGGGACTGCTGCCTTTTTTCAGGATGCTGAATCTAAGCTCCTGCCCGTTCTGAGTGAGGCCTCAGGCTGTGCAGAGGAGCTGCAGTACCTTACAGCAGCCTTGGCCTCCTTGACTCAGGGCTTCGATCATCACCTCAGCCGGCTGCAGGAACTTTTACCTCTTCGGACGTGCCTGTCCGTCTCTCAGGTGGAGCAGATCCATAAGTGCGTTCTGAGCCAGCTGCTGGTCACACTGGCCACACTTCAGGCACAGGCTCAGCTCCACCACGAAGCCCTGCAGAGGTAGCTCCTTCTTCTCTGCTCCCAGTTCACCCAGTATTTGCTGTATAAAAGTTCATTCATGGTCAGCTTGAACAGTTGTTTTCTGTAAAAGGCACCTCATAATAGGTGACTGTTCTATGTTTTATAATACGTAATGAAAACTGAGGCAGAGGTGGAAAGTTCAGGTCCAGAAAGTAAAAATCCAGACACAGATATAGTTTTAACCAACCAGTTGAGTTCTCTGTGACTGTAACTATACTCAACTGGTTGGTTGAATCAAAATCTTGGTCTGGATTTTTACTTTCTGGACCTGAATTATCCACTTCTGTGTCCAGGTAATTATTTTGACCATTCAAACAGTCATCAGCAGAGTGGACACGAAGGGCTCTCAATTCTGTTCTGACAGAAAAGTGTTTATTTTTTGCAGTTGTGGTAGTAGAACGGCTTTAGGACATCCTCCTAGCAACTCATAAACAAGATGTTTACCTAAGTGATTTGAGCTAGATCCATGTTGTGCTGTTTCACCCTTTGTAGCTGTGCAAAGAGGCAGGACTTCTACAGAAAGTCACTCGACGATATGTGCCACCACGTTCAGCACCTTGAGACGAGCCTGTCAGAGTGTGTGTCTCATAAAGTCACATCTCTCCGGGAATGTTCAGAACTACAGGAAAAGCTAAACGTAAGCATTAAGTCTGAAAGACACATCTGACGATTGAATAACCTGCTTTTGTATTTCACACTTATTGTTTGCTATGACTTGATGACATTTAAATTAGCCACTCTCCTGTCACTTTGCTTGCTTATTTAGGGCTCTGCTAGCTTCTGTCAGTGACATTCCTCTGATATCTGTTGTGAGGCGGAAGAATGGCACGTAATGTCTTCCAACCCTGTACCTGGCTTTGTACAAAATATTGTTTATATGTGACTTATACAGTGAATATAAAAGCCTACACACCCCAGTTAAAATGGCAGGTTTTTGTTTTGTAAAACAATGAAATCAAGATAAATCATATCGGATCTTTTTCCATCTTTAATATGATATTGCAACCAACAACGTTCAAGTGAAAAACAAAAGGAAGCTTTACGAGAACACAGAATAGAAATTAAACTTGCCTGGTTGCATTTGTGTCCACACCCCTTAGTTCATCCTTTGTCGAAGCTCATCTTGCTTGTAATACATTACTCACACATCACGATTTGGCAGTTTTATTCCAATATTCCTTGCAAAAAATAAATTAGATTAAAAAGAAGTTGCAGATCCATCGTATTAGACTGTGATCTCCAGCTTACAGCCCTCTTCAAGTCAACCCACACATTTTCAGTATGACTTAGGTCTGGACTCTGACTGGGCCATTGCAAAACTTTGGGACATTATTGTGTTGGAAGGTGAAATTCGTCTTCATCTTCAGCTATCTAACAGATAACTGCAGGTTGTCTGCAAAATATGTATTTGACCTTTTTCTTGCATAATTCTTCAAGTACTTTGAAGGATTAAGTGGACATGTAACATTTGAAATGATCAGTCTTATTATTTTTAAGGACTGAAGAATATGGTTTGCTTATTTACCATGTGCAGGCCCTGGAGCGGGAGGCGGAGTCTCACGTGAGCCGGCTGGCGGACCTGTGGGTGCGTTGTCCCAAACCGGGTTGTGGCTCGAAGGACGAGGCAGAACCAGTCACTCTCCGGAGGCGCTTGGCCGGGCTCCACCGCTCTGCTCGTTACCTCGGAGGCTGCTGGGAGCGAAGAGCAGCTGAGTGGAAAGACGTGGCTCTGAGTGTGAGTGGCGTGACGGGCAGATCGACGACGGGGCGACGGCGGGGCGACAACAGGGCGAGCAAAGAATCTGAAGATTACAGTGCATTTAATATTAAACATAACTGACTTAAGAAGTCAAACTGTAAACATACAGAAAGTTGCTGTTGTAAATGCCAAAAATAACAAGTGTAAATTCAAAGATTATCAGAGTGAAAGATCTCTGTGAATTCCAGGGAAGGGAGGGAATGTCAAGCTTGTTGCCAATACTGAGGGAAAAAACCTTGGTGTCTTCCCCACACCTTGTGGCTTGAGGGTTTCCGGTCCTGTTCCTGGAAGCTCTGTCTGAACTCATCTCACTTTCCTGAGATATTGATTTCATGCATCATATAATTTTAATGAAAAAATGCATGAAGACTATATTTTTCAAGTGCCTTCAGCTGATTTGGCACAATATTCAAACCTTTGTTGCTTATTTTTGACAATTTATAAAACAAACAGAAGTTATTTAAACTTCATTTGGAGTTATAATAATTATTATTTAAGGCTGTAGTTTAGTGATGTATTCTATTTCTCAGTATATTAAGCTCAAATCCCAAATGAGAATGATCGGACGTTTTCAACCAATGCATAGTTTGACCTGATTGTGTCTGATTCATTTGACTAGCAGGACATATAAGCTGAATCCTGCTGTAAATTTGTATAGCAAGAATATTGTGACCATTGTGACCAGGACTGAGGAACCCCAGCTTATATGCCACACACTCCTGCTTGACATAAAACTGTGTATAAACTGGGGCAGAGTCTTTGTGGCTTATCTGCTGTTGTTGGTTTTGTGGTGACAGATGGAAAGAGCCCAAAAGGTACTAGAGCAGCTTGAGGATGAGATACCGCCCAGCCCCAGAGAGGGCGCTCTTCAGGAGGAGCTGCAGAACCTGCTGCCTGACACAGAGACGTACCTGCAGCGCCTTAACAACGAGCTGTGCGTCCTGGCCTCCATGGAGATGCGGCTTCCCCGACCTCTGGGTGACCCTGCCAAAAAGGAACAGGACACACCCAGCCAGTTCTCTGAGGACCTGCAGGCCATCAGGGAATGCTACAGAAAGTAAGGGTATCACCGTCTTGCTATCTGAAGGATTAGTCATAGTGGTGACACTGAAAAGGTTGCTTTTCTCCCTGTTACTGCACAAACATGTCATGTTTGGTTTATTGGGTCGGGTGAGTTCTGAGTATTTCCTGGTTGCGTTTCATATAAATAGACAAAAACACTCCAATATCTTGCCAAAACTACTGATTAATTGGTGCTTGCCCAAATGGTGTGTGTCTGTTTAGCTTGGACCATAAACTGTCTGACACGTGATAATGCAGAGCTTTTGGGCAAGCTGTTAGGGACTCCATTTCCCAGCATCCTTTGCTGTTTCTCTCCTTGTGTAGCTGCCGTGAGCTGGCACCAATCTGGGTGCCCTACATTGCACCACTTGCATCCACACGCACTCCCCTAGTCGTACGCACAACACACACTTAGGTTTATATGCAGCTACACTGTAGCTGTTCTTCATTTGTGATTCTGCAGTTTTATATTTTAGGTAGTTAACTTTTTCTTCTCTGTCTCTGATGTATACTGTGAATTTTGTTTGTAAGTGGAGCTTGCCTACATCAGGACAGTCCTTGAATATTCCTGTGGCTCTGGGATGTTCTGACACGAATCAGTCACTGGTCGTGTTCGTAGGCTGACGGAGAAGAGCATGCTGGGAAGGCAGGCCGCATCCGCGGAGCTGCACGACCGGGAGCAGGTCCGGGAGGAGATCTACGGCATGCGGGAGCGACTGAGAGTCGCCTCCTGCCGCTTGTCCGGCCTGGAGCATTTCGCATGCCAGAGCCGTCTGCAGGTGGGTGACCCTGAGCGGCACGTCCGTCTGCGGGTGGGTGACCATGAGCGGCGCGTCCGTCTGCGGGTGGGTGACCCTGAGCGGCGCGTCC